ATTCTGCAGCAAAGACTTAAAACATAAAGAAGTGTGAAGGACAGAAAGCCAGAAGACATGGAAATTCTTTATACCTTCCTGGAGCATGTGCCACATATCTCATCCACACCCCCATGCACACCAGGAGGAGAATGTGACTGCTGGGAAGCACTGCAACACCAGGGCAGAGCAGAAGAACCAAAGTACACTCTGTGTGATGCATTGTAGGTCAGTGGAGCATGGAAGAGAATGAGGTTTCTGAAGGAGCCTTCTAAGGAACAGCTGGGGTTCAGCATAGGAACCTGTCCTATGCAGGTTTGTGACGACACTAGTGACTGACAATTACTAATGTATGTGCACTTAACAGCAATGAAATATCTCAGTCCTGTGTCATGTGAACAGTAATGGTTTTTACAGGAACTATAAAAACAAGATGATAGGTAAAAACCCCAGTGGAAAATTTGCCCACAGAGAAACAAACAAGTTAATTACCAGCCATCCCAATCAGAAGTTCATCTACTTGCTTTTTCTTTGCTTTTCTTCCCATCCCGAGAGAAGGAAGGTAACCTAAGAAGTACAAAATTAGGTGTACATAGAGCTAGTTTTACAACTGTTAGCTCAAGGTGCAAAACCATGGCAGAGTGCTACACATTTCAAGCCCAGCTCATAAAGGAATGTTTCTTGCTTTACCCCACAAAACTCAAAACCACAGAAAAGATTATTATTCAGATAAGAGAAGTTGTAAAACCACTCTTCAGTGGTAACCAGTCCCTAAATCAGCCTTTATGTTCCTGTTCAGTTCTTTCCCCAGCATAGAATGGAAAATAAAAATTATCACTCCCCTGTTCCTCCCAGACATTTTAAAAAAAAAAGAAAATTTAAAAATTGCAAACAAATAAGTTAGTACTAACGGGCAGTTGATAGATCAGTAGTTAGTTGCTAACACCTCCTTGATTACAAGTCTATGTTCACCCTTTGGCTCAGCACGGGACTATTACTTGCCCCTGGAGAGGAAAGGAAGATTTTATGGACAGAAAAGTCAGGCAGGAAATTCTTTGTATCGAAGGAGACAAACCTGTTTCTTAAAAAACCCCGTGATGTGCATCTCAAAACACAGAAGGGCAGGATGCCTTCTAAGGCCAGTCATTACTGTGGGGTTTACTCCAGGCTGCAAATTACTCGTTTATACAGTTCTCTGGTGAAGTTCAGAAACTGGACTGGAGTAAGAGAGAAAATCCTGAGTCTTTATTGCTGCTCTTGCATTTCTCAGTTCTTATTCCCTTCTCCTCAAGCAGGAACAGGCCATATGCTGAGTAAAAGCAACCAGAGAGTACATTTGAGCAAAAGATTCTACAGGACTGGCCCCATCCCCTATGTCAGACCAGTTTTCCACACTGTCCAATACTATCAAATCCAGCAGAACTTAGCCCCCATGAATAGACTATGAAAAGTGGGCAGCTTCTACCAAAAGAATTTACTGGAAGTGTTACCTAGGGAAAAAAAATCTCAGGAAAAAAAAAAACAGCTTTAGCTGAGAGTACAGAAGACTTAATTAAATTGTTGGGATTTTTTCCCTTCTCTCCAGGAAAAAAGTTGAGTTAGGCCCCATCAGAGGTTTGCTGATAGAAAGGATGTTTAATGATAACACCATAGAACTCATCCAGTTTGTTCTTACACATAAGGCAGACATTCTTAACTAAGAGAGGGTCTGTGAATCTGAGATAAGATTTTATCCTCTGAAGCCTCTGACGAATTGAGTTTTCAACAGTTACCCCATTTGTGCTGATTTTGAGTTGTGGGTTTTTCAGTTTGAAGGGAGCACAGAGCACACTGCATGGCTGGAGTTTATCTCAGGACACTTAGCCATGACTCACCACAGTAATTTTGTGACACTACTGAGTGAACAAGCACTCCCTGGGCAGATGGGTGGATGCCACGTGTCATGCCAGGGTTTAATGACAGGAGAAGCTCACATGCAGCAGTTTCAGGGCTTGCAATGTGCAAAACCTTGCCAAGCACATGTTCAGGAGGCTGGGTGCTTTCTGGAGACACTGCTCTCAAAGCCAGAGGCTTTACTTGCACATGCACATTGGGTATGTGAGATACTCCCAAATGAGCCACAGCCCAGGCTCCAGCTCCCATCAGGGTGCTTAAGAATGAAAATCTGGACAAGACTACCAAGTCTTCACATTTCACTGGTCAAATTTCTGGGAGGAACTCAGGATGTATTCAGAGTGTTTGAGAATCAGAAAGAAAGGAAAAGGCAGAAGGGCAGTTATATATCTGAGTTTCTCTTCTGCTGCAGATCAGCTTAAGCTGAAAGACTACATCTGATCTTCCCAAAGCAGCCACTAGAAACATTCTGTGCCAAAACCAAAACTCTTCTCTCTGCTGGTGGGAGAGAAGAAAAGCAAGTAACACACAGAATGAAAACAAATAAAAAGAGGCATATTGAAAAATTAATTTTCTAAAAGATGGCATTCAAGATGGATTGCCCTCAGACACAAGGCAGGACTTTTGAGACATGGGTGACAATTTGTACATGTGACTAAATGTAAGAGACACATGGATAGGGCTGATAGGAAGTCGACAGCAAAAGCCTTGCACAACACAAGATTAAGTTCTCAAATGAACAGGATGCTTGTACATACAAAATTCAGGGATCATTATTTATTACAGAAAAGCATATTTTGCCCTTCTACAGATTTTCATTAAAATGGTTCTTGCATAATTCAAGAGAGTTTTCACTGAGAGACCTCCTGATTTACGCTGCTCTAATAGATAGAAAGTAATCGGACATGCATTCATTTTGGTGATTTCAGTTCATCAACATCTGTTAAGATTGACTTAATTTGAAATAAAACTTTGGGCAAATATATTTTTGCCATCAACTAGAATTCTTTCACATAACTGCAGCCAGAACTTGCATTGGCAAGCCTGAAAATTTTATAATTTAACCAAAATAGGTATTCACACAGGTAGAACAGAGATAGCAGAGTGACAGCAATGTCTGGTGTATGTTTTCATTTGGGGTTTTTTCCTCACCATTGTCATGCAAGGATGTTACTTTCTGACACCTATACATAGCAATGCACAGCTGTTCTCCATGAGTCTATATTCTACAGTTGAATATCCTCTAAATGATCTTGGGTAGAACAAGTATTTTTCTTTTTTTCCTCCATACTAAATTTTATAAGCCAAAATAAAACAAGACTTAGCCAGTTTGCTCTGTCAACATCTGTGGTGGACACAGTCCACCGTGCTCTATTTCATGCAGAGTGATTGTTTGCATCACCTCCAGACTATCTTGGAAATGAGCCAAAAGTAATTTTTGTTGCTCAGTCCATTATTTTCTGTAGTCTGCAATAAAATATGATAAGACTGATTTTCACCAATTTTAAATAGAGGAATTACTATCAACAAACATGAAACATTTCACATTACACGTATGCTAGTTTGCCCCTGTATATATGGTGCAAGTGTATCACTGTGGTGCACACAGGTCTGGAGATGTAGGTTGGAGCTCTTCACAGGGACATAATTTGTTTCCAGAGATCATTATTCTGCTACAGTTAACATACAACCGAATAGAATGAAATCAGCTTGCTGTAGAGCTTCCCTTTCCTAATTTTGCCTTTTCTGTTTCTGGGACTGCTACTGTTACTCCTCTGAGATTTACCAGCACTTTGCTCAGAGCCTGAAGAGCAGAAAGCACATGGCACAGGATAAACAGCCAAACACACTTTACTCATTATTCTAGTAGATGGGTCAGAGGCACTCTCACCTTGCTTTTAAACAAAGGAACATAACACAGTGGGGCTTATAACTAGTTTTGAACCACAGTGTATCTTACATACCAGGTGGGAACCCTGCAGGAAGACTGAAATCAGCCCATGAGACACACCACTACTTTCAACAAGAGTTCTATTTCTGAACCAGCATTCTTTTTTCCCCTGCACTCAGCAAAAAGATTAAGCCTTTCTTGTAAGGAAAAAAATAGCCTTTAAAATTATAGTATGCTCAAATCCTCACAATTGTCTGTAGAAAATGTTCCAGTGGCCTTTGGGACTGAGAAATTTGACCTGCAGTTACAGGTTCTTCTCTTACTTTGATCCTAAGTGCCTCAAATGGCCTAATTAAACTGGTCCAGTAAGTGTCATAAAGGCTGTCTTGCTCTGCTGAACCTCAGAGGGAAAAAAGAAAGCATGAACATCATCTTCTACAGAAGGCATCTGAGCAATCTGTTCCATACAGCTGATGCACTGGACAGGAATTCTGTATTTCATTGTTTTGATGCTCACAATTAAATGCAAAATACTTACCATCATAAGAGAAATCTCTTAAGGTTACTAAGGTTAAGAACACCAGAACATTAAAAAAAATATTTTGAAGAATTTTGTCTCCATTTTGGTATTTATAGAAGTAGCAACAAAAATACCATTAATTTACATTTAACGGACTTATAATAGCAATTCCCCTAAATAAAAGGAAGTTATTTGGCATAGGTGAACCATCTCTGTTAAGATTATCATCCTTAACCCTTCCTACTCAAACACTCCCTAGAGTTGACTTGTATTGATTCTCCATTCTCCTACCTCTAAAACAAATTTTAAAAAAAATCACACTAAAATTAAAACCTAGCTAGACATAAATATAAATAGCTGTTTCAGTCATCCTTAGTCCCTTTTACTGATATCAGCTCACAGATAATGTTCTGGAAGTGACAGAAAAATCTAGGTTGGAAGGAAGGTAGCTAGTCCAGTTTGCTGATCAAAGTCTAATGTTAAATTACCATAACACATTGTCATTTTATAGTAAAATTACCAGGCAACTAAAGCATGTGCTTACACCTAGGCTTTTTATTTCTTGTACAAAATCATGAAATCAGAAATTTTCATTGGTAGTAATTCCTATGAAGTTTATAAGGTAACTTCAGGTGTGGAGAAAGGGCTTAAATACTACTCCCTTCCTTCCCAATCCAAAACATTCCCCATGATAGCTCTCTGCTCTGACTTGTACAGCCTCACCTCGAGTCCTGTGAGCGGTTTTGGGCACCAAAGAAAGACATCAAGCTGTTGGAGAGTGTCCGAAGGAGGCTACGAAGCTGGTGGAAGGTCTGAGGAGGCCGCGCCAGGAGCGGCTGAGGGCAGCTGGCCTGTGGGGCCCGGAGGGGAGAGGCAGCCTCACTGCACCGACCGCTTGTCCTGAGGGGAAGCACAGGCACTGAGCTCTGCTCTGAGGTGAGCACGGCCTGAGGAAGGGCCCCGAAGTGGTGCCAGGGAGGTTAAAGCTGGATGTTAGGGAAAGGATCTTCCTCCAGAGGCTGCTTGGGCACTGGAGCAGGGCCCGGCAGAGCAGCACGCTCGGCGCGGCGCGGGATGGCCGCGGTGCCCGGGCAGGGCCTGGAGCTGAACTTCAGGGATTCCTGGGGGCTCCTCCAGCTCCGGGTAGGCTGTGATTATATCCACTGACATTCAGGAATGCTGTGATCAAAACAGACTCAAACACAGATATTATTTACAAAAGGAGGAGTAGTTTAAGACAGGCATCCAAGAGAATGTACTCTTAAGCAAGAGAGGCTTAAAGAATATATTATTTTGGGGTGGGAAATAGAGCTATGAGCTTTCTCTGTTCTGAAAATACATTCACTATTAAAACATCAAAAGTTTTTTCAAAACCACATCTTAAACTTTGTTGAAGTAGTTTGTAAATCTTAATTGGCTAGACTTAGTTCTCTAGAATTTAATGATACTAAGAAGACAAAATTGAAATGGCTGTAAAACACTTATCAGATGACTGTGAAGGTCAAAACAGTACATTTCACTCTCAGTTTTCGTGGACATTATGTAACTCATCTGAAATTCTACTCTTAAAACAAAAAGTGTTTTATAAAATTTTCCTCCTCCTCCTCTCTGACAGTTAGAAAAAGAGCAAGGGAGAAATCAGATTTGCATGGAATTAATTCTGACTCATTAAATGAAACTTTTTAAGAGTCAGTGAAACAGTATTCACCTATTACAACTCATCATCTCAAAAATAAATCAGCTCCCAGGTATGGCAGCTGCACTGTTTGTCCAGAACCTTCTCTGCACGCACAGGGGTCATCACTCCTAACTCCAGCTCACACATTTTATAAGCCTTCGTTCAGGGCAAAGTGTTAGGAGGAAACTATTTCATAGCAATCTGTTTCCTGCTATCCACATTACATTTCTCAATGTAACATGTGGGAAGGGAAGGGGAAGGGGAAGGGGAAGGGGAAGGGGAAGGGAAGAAGTTTGAATTGCTTCAGGCAAGTCCTGTGTCATCTCTAATCATGGCTCAGCTGAGAGTGTTAACTTGATCTGAGGCAATCCATGATAGAATGTCTACATTTTAAAATTAATTTTCCTTTTTTAAAAGTAGCTTAAAGTAGAAAAAAAAAAAAAAAAAACAAACCAAAAACCAGCACAAGATTAAGAGTCAACTATTTCAACATTGGGGATAGGGGGGAGGAATAAATACATTTCTCTACTTAAAAGTTTACAGGTTTGCCCATCATATTTCCCACACACGCGCGCACACACAGAGAATTCTAGTTCTGATAATGTTGCTAATAGATAGTTGCTTATTTAAAAGCACTCTCAGATGACTGCATGAATCTCAACTACAGTGCAGTCTTTTTGTATAAATACCAGTCCTGTTTCTCCCTTAGGAACTTTTTATCAAAATTGTACTTTATTATTTAAATGAGAAGTATAAAAATGTGACACAAAATGTAAAATGGTATTGGGAAGTGGCTGGAGAACAGTTGCTTTGCTCTGTAGCTTTTAACTTCAGAATGAAAATATGAAGCAAAGAAAGATTGACTCATAATAGCAGTTAATGAATATATAAGTAGGCTGCAATTAATTAAGCAGATATGTTGCTTTTTAAAACTTCCCTTCTGTATTACAGTCTTCCTTTTTATCTCAGTTTGTTCAGCCCAATTCTTCTGACAGCTATTGACAGCAATAGCCAAAAATACCACAGGTTTTCCTACAGAATCCCTACCAATACTGACTGCTAAATCCAGTGGTGCATGTCAATTTGATGACTCATGCCTCTTATTTCATTTTAATCTCCTTTCCTTTCATGTTGATGAACTGAAGTTTTACAGTTTCATTACAGCCTTCTCCCCTGACTCTTCCCATATACCTAGGACTAAGTAGGACAAGTAGAAAAGCCCCCACTGGCTGTCACCGGCAGTGTTTGTACTGCTGTGATAGCAGGCTTTAACAATTCATAGTATCTCTAAAGCTTCAACAAAAGGAACAGAGACTGGAACAACTCTCAGTAATGCCACTCTGCTTGCCACAGAGTAGTAGGATTTAAGAAGGAATTACCCTGTTTTCTCTTTCCTCTTGCTTCCTTCCCTACAATGCTGAAGTCTGTAGAAATGTGAAGAATGGCCACATTTCCATTTTAAGTTGTGTACTAAACAGAACCAAAACAGATATTCAAATCTAAGAGTGAAGTGCTTGATATCTGTGATATTTTTACTTTCCTGCTCAGAATAACTGCACTTGTGGTTATGATTAAGGCTGTTGCGTCATTTATTCGAGGTGACCATACCAGATTGTTTCTTCATTAATCATTTGAAGGCTATACTGGTTTATTTTGCCATGTGTTTTGGCAGAGACTAAAACTCTGCTTGGATAGATATTTCTCTGACACATTTCTATTAAGCACCTGCAGCTGCCTCTGACTTAGATTGCATTTGGATACTTAATAACAGGGATATGAACTCCTGTGTGCAAGTAGGCCTCTGAAATACACAGTATACTTACACAGTATACTTAAAGGGGAAAACCAAAACAGAAACATAAAAAAGTAAACCCCAAAGTTCTTGGAAATTATGGTACCTCTTTCAGGACTAGTAATGCTAAACCATAAACCTCCTATGTATAGCTATAATTTAAGAGGTGGTGGGATCTAAAAATTTACTCTCATGCTGATTGATATTCTTTGACATTTGTGAACTTACACCTACAAATGGGCAAAGCTACAACTGTAACATGAACACAGTTCTCATTCATCCAAATAAACGTGAGAGGGTAAAACTGCGTCCATGACATACTAGAGTATGGTATGTGTTTTCCAAAACTAACCAAAGCTGGTCTAGGCACCTTGACATTTATGAATTTATACTTCCCACTCTCAGTCCTTACTCAATAATCTTGATCATACAGCCACCCACAGGAAGCAAGTAATGGGTGAATTGAAAGATAAGAGAATTTCTTCACAGAAAATTGGGGTATTTGGTTTTGTAAAATATTATTTGCAATACAGTTAGTGTCTGACAACCAAGTCAATTCCAGTTTTGCTTTTTTACTATGCTGCAATGAAAAACAACTAAACTCTGAAAATGTCAGGTAATTGTCAAGCTATATTTAACTACCACGTTTCACTTGTAAGGAAACATCAATTTGAATAAACAGATGGTGTTGCTATGGGGTTGCCATCACAAGTAGAAGCACACATTTAACTCTGAAAATGGCAGATACAAAGGACAAGAAAATTATATGCAATGCCAGGCATTTCTGGAAACAAAACCATGTGTAGCAAACAAACTAAACCTTTGTTTGCTTCATTCCTGCACTTATAACACAGTCTTACTGTTAGGATCACTTGATTCCTACGAACTAAATAAGAATTCATAATATTAATGGTATTAATCCTCAAATAATATCAGGAATACTTGTATCTCTAGCTCCATTGCTCCCTCCCATGAAATCCCTGGGAAAGTGAACGTACAATTTTGGTTACTTGCTCAAATCATTTCAGTAGCTGGGAGTCTATTGAAAATAGATTGTCATGCTATTACAGCAACAAGGATGCTGCTGGCCAGTTAATGGATTTAGTCAATGTTACTTAAATGTTGGAATAGAGATTTTTAAAAAGCTCTCAAAATAAAGAAATGGGTAGAGTATTCCAGTACATCCAAAGAAATGCAAATAGAAGGCCTGTTTAGATATTTATGATACCTGGCATTACTTGTATAAGGAGCTGAACTTTACCAAAACTGGACATCATGTTAGGAGAGAGGCACTGGTTTATTTCCAAGATTTGCTTTAAAACTACAACAGCTAGATTTTTTTCCAGACTACAACAGGATTTTAATCGGTTTAAACACTCAAATGGCATTAAATTAAATAATGTAAACATTCAAATAATTTAAACATTCAAATTCCAAATTAGTATGAAGAGGAATGAAAAGGGAAGCATGGAAAATTTCATCAGCTGCTTATACAAGTTAACCATTGCTCAAGAATGCTGAGGATAGTGTTGACACTATACTTGTGGATTACTTTGAGATTTAGAAAGTGGTTGGTAGATTTCATTTTGTCATTTTATTTTGTTTTTTATTTCACATTTGTATTTATTATTCACACAAAATAACAGGTATAACCAATAAGTTCAGCAATATAAAAAGGAGCATTTCCACAAACTACTTCTGATATGTAGAAAGGACTGTGATTATTATTTACTTTCAGAATTTCTCAGTGTACTTACACAAGGATGGACCTGCAGGAAAACTCTTAAGCTCCCTTGAAAACATTACCACCAACATACCATTGCACTGCTGTTTGACAAACAGGAAAATTCTATTACTGACACAATGGCCTCTTCATATTTAAATGTCAGAATCTTAGTGAGATTTACAACAATTTATAGCATTTTATGCACAACCACAAACAAGTCAACTGGAGTATGGAATTACTGAGTAAAATGAGAGCACAAAAGGAAACTGTAACAAATTAAACTGAATTTTAAAAAGAACATCAAAATAATGATGGGGACCACCTTTAAAGTGTGATACAGTAAAATAAGAATGTGAAAGGTCATGTATTACACTGGACAGAGCTTTCCTTGCTAACAAGGAATATATATAGTGAGAAAACTTACCTACCTTCCTACAGATACCACACAAATCACGATTCAAAAGCTTAAATTCTGGGTTTGCTCAAGAGCAGTAGTTTCTATTCATTAAAACCAGAAAATTTTCTTTCTGCATTTACTAAACATCCAGAGCTAATGGTAAAGATGGGACATTTTTCTTTCAGTACCAAGTGTCACAAACTTGGCAACAGCCATTCCCACTTTCAAGGGTATTTCCATTCTAAGGTACAACTGTTAGATTCATGCTACCTGGGAGAGAAGGTAACATGACAAACCATTCCAATTCAAAGGACCTGGCTCAGGCCTTAGTCTGTCTAAGGATCATGGGTAGAACAAATCCCTAAACCAAGTTGCCCATCTCAGTTTTTTTCATACCTCCTTTCATGCTGTTTTGTAGAACTATGAGCTGCCCTGTGGACTCCTTCCTTCAAAGTGAGATGTAGTACGCTTTATTTGCATGACACCTGGCAGCAATCACAAAGCTCTTATATTTGAAAGATAATTAAATGAGAGTGAGCATAAATAGTTG